GTTATGCACGTAGTTATACAAGCATTATACATATATAAATTTCTGAAATGTGTGAAAGATACGAGTTTTATATACGATACATGAATATCTTCCTGAACAATAACTAAAGCATAACTCATAGAATCGGTAAATCATGAAGGTCTTTTAGGAATTGTAATTGCTAAAATTCATATTTAGTATCATTGTTCATTGTAGAAGGAACTGTATATATCCATTGATTCCCAACCATAACGCAACAACAAAATGCATTTAAAATATCAAGCTATACGCATTACTACGGCTGAAAATATTTATTTGTAATGAAATCAAATAAAAGCTCATAATAATTGTGATAAATATTTTATTACCTCAAAAATTAAAATGATTTAACAGAAAAACGTCTTTTGCGTAAAGATATGCGCCGTGTTGGTTTCACGGTTTGGTTTTTGGCCTCCTTACAAGCATCGCTTACAGCAGCCTTTGGTTCAATGACAATATTAAGTTCTTTACACACAGCGCTATATACATCTGAAACATTTACATCACATTTGGCTGATGTTGTAAGATAGGTACAGCCCCAGTCAATAGAAACAATAGCATCAATGACTTTGTTATCGATAGTGTCTTCTTGTATCAAGTCCGATTTGTTACCAACAACAATAATAGGAACTTGTTCTCGCTTCTCTTCAAGAATCAGTTGTCTTAAAGCTTCGATTTCTTTGAAAGTCTGCATGGCGTTATCAAGGTCAAATACCAGTGCAAAAGCATGACTTGTCTTTACCGCTTCCCTTAACAGCTCCGGGTACTCGAAGTCGCCTGCCGTGTCTAAAATCTCCAGTTTGGTGTATTTATTTTCAGATGTGTGAATATCATACCGGAACATCGTCTCAATGGTTGGATCGTATTTTTCTCTGAAGCCCCTTTTCAGTATTTGAGTTATAAGGCAAGTTTTACCGACTTTTTTGGCCCCAAGGACTGCAATGCGAAAACACTTTTCCATTGTTGCTGACATGGTCTACCGTATTTCGTCAAAGACTTATTCTTTTTTCCGTTCAGCCTGGAACTGGATTTTAAGAAAAGCTCTCCCTCTTTTAAACTACTTTTCCTTCTTTTTCTGCTTTCTTATTGGGTGAATTACTCAGCCCTCATTATCACCTTTACCACCTTTCGAGCATTATGAGCGTATCAGTAAAAGAAGTAAGATCTATAGATTTCTGATAGGCTTACAAGGAAATAACATTTTAAATTTCTTGGGAGGTAATATATTTCATAAGACATAATTTTACAAGACCAATCAAATGGCAACGGTGTATTTATCCTTTGTACATTCGAACCTAAATATACATTTCCAGGGCTGCATTCAAGATCGTAGCGGCTATTCTAGCAGATAGGTGTTGTATGTCTATCTCTTCGGCTAGCTCTCCCTAAGTAGCGACTAGGCTACACGTAGTTCAAGAGGTAGCTTTATCAGCTAGTTTATGTAGCGCCTACGTACATGGCATGGCAGCTACGCTGTTGAACGCACCTCTGGTAACTTCTCACAGAGATAATACTATTTCATACAACCTAACTTCATCAAATCATGCATTTATCTAATCTATCTATTTCTGTTAAGTCCCGTTTGATGAAACAGTCTGAATTATAAATTAATTGATATAATGCTCTACCTCAGGCGGTACCTAGTCTGTATTTATCAAAGTCTGAGGCATGTAACGATAAAATTATGATGTAGTCAGCAAACAATTAACAATTTCCCACCACGCTTTGGTCATTCTGGTGAATGTGCAGTTTCGTCAAGTCTTCTTTTAGCTCTTTTATTATGTTCCCCAAACGAAGTTGGGGAACATATTGTTTTTACTCTGTTTCTTATTATTATTATTCTTATTATTATTATTTTTCTTCCTGGGAAAATTTTGTACGCGAGTGTTCTTGTAAACTACACATCCGACTTAGGTGAAACCTTTTTAGGGTAAGTAGGCATGTTATGTAGATTTGCGGAATCAAGGTCATTTTGCGCGCACGTGCTTGCAAGAGCACGCACGTGCAAAACTTAAAATGACCAATATATAATGGATATAACCGTAACTTTTCTATGTAAGGATATATTAGTAGTATGCACAAGATGACATGTCAAAATAGCAAGATCGCACGCGCATGCACGTGCGCTTCGCTCTGATTGGCTGAAACTAAAGTTTCAATATCTTTTTTGTTTTTTGATAAAATCCTTTGAAATTTTGAACATAGTCATACATTAGGGAGGTCTACAGCCTGTAATATAAGATTGATCATGAAAGCATGTGCATGCACATGTGCTTGCAAGAGCTCACACGTGCAACACGAGAAATGTCCAATATAATTGATACAGACGTAACTATTTAAATTATTGATGAAATGCTTTGAAACTCATATTATAAGTATATATTAGAAGCATAGACAAAATGACATGGTCAAAAAAGTAAGATCTCACACGCATGCACGTGCGCTTCGCTCTGATTGGGTGAAACTAAAGTCTCAATACCTCTCTTGTTTCTTGTCATAATCCTTTGAAATTTTGAACATAGAACTACATTATGAAGATCTACAGCATGATATATAAGAATATTTCATGAAAGCATGCGCATGCCCGCGTGCTGCAATCTGATTGGCTGAAACTTTAAATGACTATATCTCCTTGTTTTTTGACGAAATGCTTTGAAATTTAAAACATAGTCATGCATTAGGATATCCTATAATATGATATAGAAAAAAATCATGAAATCACGCGCATGCACGTGTGCTGCAATCTGATTGGCTTAAACTTGAAATGGCTATAACTCCCTTGTTTTTCAACCAAACAGGATGGGATTTAGAATATAGATAGATATAAGGGACTCCTACAAGAAGGTATGGTCATCATGCACGTGCATGCATTCGGAACGAGTGAAATGAAAAATACCCTTGAGAGAGTGATTTTTCATACTTTTGGACTGAATGCTTTAATATATTGTTTATTAAAATAAATAGATAGTGTAGACAAGATGATATGATCATAACGCACATGCATTCAGATGCGCACGGGTGCAATGATAAAATTTGAATATAATTGGTATCCTTCAGAGAAAACGTTGTTAAAGTCAAAAATGCACAGAGTTTGTCTTATTTAATAAAGCTTACAGGGAATATGGCACCAAAAAGGAGTTGAGGAGCGTTTGGGGAACATCTGTAACGGTTCCCGTTACAATTAGCACTAGTTCTACAATACCCTATGATACCAACAGTTCACAAAACTCGATCAAGAGCCGATCAATCTCTTTAGAGATATATAAATAACGTTTTTCAAGATATAGTGCTCTACTATGAGGAGATACAAGTCAGGATGTAAAATTTCATATCAAAAACCTCATTTTTTTTTTTTTTACATATTCGGAAACAAAAGATCTTGAATGTTTTTTATTCTCTGTCCTCAAATTGTTCGAGTCACGGCCGCGACTGACTTAAGTCGATAAAAAAAAAAAAGGAAACAACTGTTCCTTTGCCATGAGCGTTCAGCACTTCAAAGTAAAAATTTCGGGTCCTTCGGATGAGATCTTGAACACCGAGGTCCATGTCACGGTAGGCGTTGGCACGATAAAGACCTTATTGCTCAATGGCCCTGAGAAATGGTCTAAATTTGAAGCCCTTCAGCGGTAGATGAAAACGTCTCTATATGAGTGAAAAATTCTCAAACGGGACCCCCAAAAATACAATCAATCAATCAAGCCCATCAGCGGTAGATGAAAACGTCTCTATATGAGTGAAAATTCTCAAACGGGACCCCCAAAAATACAATCAATCAATCAATCAAATTAAATAGGTTTTTTTTTTTTAGATCAAAAGGAGTTATGATCATAATTTATTTCAATGCATCTAAAATTATCACCTGGAAACGAAAGCGTTAAACATACGCAGAATTACAGACGGACGGTAGGAAAGACTGTCCCAAAATATCCCCTACTTTCAGTCAAATCGGGGACAAAAATGTAAACTCCATTCCCATCCATGAAGACCATATCTCGGAGTGAGGGAGTGTTGAGCAACTTTCTTCCACTTTATAAAATTCTTCCTACCAACTTTAAAACTTTTTCTGACGGGAATGGGGATGGAGGGGCTCAAGATCCTTAAATATTTATGTTTATTAAATCCACAAATTGCAGGAGGGAAGGGGGGGGGGGGGTTCCGGATAGAGTTTATGTTGCAACAACAATTTACTATAAGGGAGTAATTATAGGTAATTTCAAATACTAATGTATATGCAGTATATCTATAGATTGAAGACTCATATATATTTACAAGTGATTTGTAATCTTCACTTGTGACATCACCGAAGTAATTTTTATTTAATAAACTTCTTCAATGAAACATATAAATTATTTACAGAATGTTGTTTAGTTGCTACAAATATACCGTGCACGGAAGCTTAAAAGTGGTAAGGCGTTCGCTACATGTGATCGGGAGGCTAGGGTTAGATTAGACCCATTCAAATGGAAACTGTTCACTTTAATGTGTCTTATTGTACCTGTACTCACTTCTTAAACCAGATCTAGCATAAAGTAACACTCGAACTACAGCTTATCTAGTAAACGTAATGTCACAGTTATACTTTTTTAATCTTTACAATACCTTGACCTTTTCAATGTGAATTATTTCTACAGTTTTTATTTGTTAGAGCAAGTCACTCTGTAGGATGGAGACCTATTCCAAAATATGTTTTATATTAAAGAGGCTGGGGGGTGGCAGCCATTTTCAGAATATTTCGATCTCTTTAAAAGAAGAGCTCCATATAAAGATATACAAAAATGATCAAATTCTTAAACTAAAATGTATGAATTTTTTCTTTGCCAAATGATAGTAGACAGCTTAAGATAGGTTTATAAAAAAATAAGTTAAATCTGGTGGTTAATTTGTGGTTAATTTGTTGATCCCCCAGCCTCCGTAAACCTCACTTTACTCCCAATACTGGACATTTATCCCTCCTAGCCTGACACAAGTTGAATTAAAAAAAATCAAATAAATCATTTATTTACGGTGCAACATTTTTCTCATACACAATTGTAACATACTGTCATTAACAAAATAAATAAAACAATCATATTGCACTGTACCACTTCAAAACTCACATACAACATTTGGTAAATAATTGGATTTCTGTTTTCCATAGTCAACTTGCCAAGCTTAATGTGACTTAATTAATGAAAATATAAGTACCAAAAATAAAGGTGCTTTGGTAGCAAATATGTGACTAGATTGCCATAATTAGTGCACATCAATCTTTTATAAAGACGATCTTCCCATTGTTTATGCGGCATGGCTGTTAATAAAATTCCCAGTTTTTGGCATACCAGGAGATGATATAAGTCGGGCTTTTTATGGACTTTCTTGGAGAACCAGTCGGTCTGTTAGCAATACTTTGTATAAAACTCTGATCAGTCTCAGTTTCTGTCTTCAGGATTAAGTCTCTGTAACCTTTACCTACAGTCACAATCCCCTGGGGTCTGAATGGCTTCAGGTGAGGGGGGTCAGGGGGACTGTTCTCTTGTAGAGGGATGATGGTCCTGATGTAAAAATCCTCATTGCTGTGACAACAGAACACAGTGTAGGGCTTTAGTTCCACGGCGTCTGCCACGATAACGCAGCCAGACGTGGTGCCAAGGTACAGGTATTTGTCAGACACTTTCATGGCCGTCACCTGACATCTACGAGCTTAAACAGAAAATTTCACAATATGATCATTTCAAAATCATTACAACTGCAAGTCATTCAACTCCTGTGCTTCTAATGAAAGAAATTTGTTTTTTTTTTAATTTTAAGTGAGCCCACAATTTCCTCCCAGGCACCTTATCCCAATCGTCGGAAACCTACAGGTGATCTCGTCTTTACTTATCATGTGATCACCCGTTGGTTTCCGACGATGCCTTATCCCATCTAAAGAATATTTGGGGGGAGGGGGTGTTTATGACCTCTTCAAATATTTGTATTGTTTATATTTTTTTTAAGACTGATCAGTTGGTTATTGTCACCTTTTATATAAATAATACACCTCATGTCACAGTCTCAATCTAATGAAGTAAGACACCTCATGCCACGGTATTTTATGTATTTGAGTAAGGTACCTCATGCAGTTGTGTTTTTAGCTCACCTGAGCCAAAGGCTCAAGTGAGCTTTTCTGATCACAATCTGTCCGTTGTCTGTCGTCGTCGTCGTCGTTGTCGTTGTCGTCGTTGTAAACTTTTCACATTTTCGACTTCTTCTCAAGAACCGCTGGGCCAATTTCAACCAAACATGCCACAAAGCATCCTTGGGTGAAGGGGATTCAAGTTTGTTCAAATGAAGGGCCACGCCCTTTTCCAAGGGGAGATAATCATGAATTTGTTAAAAATCATTGGCATTTTAAAAAAATCTTCTTCTCCAGAACCACTGGGTCAGGAAAGATGAAACTCATGTGGAAGCATCCTCAGGTAGTGCAGATTCAAGTTTGTACAAATCATGACCCCCGGGGGCAAGGATGGGGCCAAAATGGCCGACCCAAGTTTTACATAGGAATATGTAGGAAAAATCTTTAAAAATCTTCTTCTCAAGAACCACTGCGCCAGTAAAAAATAAAACTCATGTGGAATCATCCTGAGGTAGTGTAGATTCAAGTTTGTTCAAATCATGACCCCCGGGGCAAGGGTGGGGCCAAAATGGCCGACCCAAGTTTTACATAGGAATATATAGGAAAAATCTTTAAAAATCTTCTTCTCAAGAACCACTGGGCCAGGAAAGATGAAACTCATGTGGAATCATCCTGAGGTAGTGTAGATTCAAGTTTGTTCAAATCATGACCCCCGGGGCAAGGGTGGGGCCAAAATGGCCGACCCAAGTTTTACATAGGAATATATAGGAAAAATCTTTAAAAATCTTCTTCTCAAGAACCACTGGGCCAGGAAAGATGAAACTCATGTGCATTCATCCTGAGGTAATGAGGAGTAAACACCTCATGTTAATATGTTTTTGATGTAATACAATAAGGCACCTCATGCCATTGTGATTTTGATGTAATAGAGTAAGGCACCTTGTGTCATTGTGTTTTTGATGTAGGCCTAATAGAGTAAGGCAACTTATGTCAATGTTTTTTTTTTATGTAATACAGTAAGGCACTTTGTGTTACTTGAGGAATGTTTTTAATTAATTTTGTGTAAGTTATTGGTGTGTGAATCACACAGACTTGCAAGTAGGCATATAATAGAGTAATTAGGGCACCTCATGTGACTGTGTTTTTGATGCAATAGAGTGAGGAACCTTTTGCCATTGTGTTTTTGATGTAATAATACAGTAAGGCACCTCATGCCATTGTGTTTTTGATGTAATAAGTAAGGTACCTCATGCCATTGTGTTTTTGATGTAATACAGTAAGGAACCCCATGTGACTGTGTTTTTGATGTAATAGAGTGAGGAACCTTTTGCCATTGTGTTTTTGATGCAATAAAGTAAGGCACCTCATGCCATCGTGTTTTTGATGTAATAAGTAAGGTACCTCATGCCATTGTGTTTTTGATGTAATAAGTAAGGTACCTCATGCCATTGTGTTTTTGATGTAATAAGTAAGGTACCTCATGCCATTGTGTTTTTGATGTAATACTGTAAGGCAACCCATGCCATTGTGTTTTTTATGTACCGGAGTAAGGCACTTCATGCCATTGTGTTTTTTATGTACTGGAGTAAGGCACCTCATGCCATTGTGTTTCTGATGTAATGGAGTAAGGCACCTCAAGTCGCTGTGTTTTTTGGTGTAGCTCATGCCACTCTGTTTTGGATGTAATTAAGAAACAATCGTGTTATGTAATAAAGTAAGGCACCCCATGAAAATGCGTTTCTGATGTAATGGAGTAAGGTGCCTCATGTCACTGTGTTTTTTATGATATAGAAAATAACATCTCACACCACTGTGTTTTTGAAGTAATTGAGTAGGGCACCTCATGCTCTTGTGTTTTTGATAAAATAGAGTAAGACATCAAAGCATCATATGCTATTGTGTTTTTAATGTAAAGAAGTATAGTGCATCATGCTATTGTGTTTTTGATGTAATAGTGTAAGGTGCTTCATGTCACTGTGTTTCTGATGTAATTAAGAAACGTACTAGTACCTTATGTTACTGTGTTTCTGATATAATGAAGTAATGTATCTTTTATTACTGTGTTACTGTGTCAGGTGTAATAAAGTAAGACACCTTATGACACCATGCTTATGATGTAAATGTGACTAAAATCTATGTAAATGATTCTTATTTTTAAACTAAGTATGATTTCTTAAATGAAGTTAGCTGATCTAGCTACTTTGGATTAAATAGTGGAAATGATTGTCCAAAAGGAATGACTTAAACATAAAAATAATGTTAAGAGTAATGAGATATATAAGAAGGTATAGCAAGCTAATCTCTACTGGAATACTGAACATTCTGCCAAATGAACTTTTTTTCTCCCAAAGTCAACTGTCATGACACAATATCTAATCTACAGACACGGTACAATACTTTCATTTTAGAGAAATACTGAATAAGCAAAAAGTTTCATACCTTCATGGTTGTTGCCTAAGTAGGTATTGAAAAACCCACTTTCTGTTACAGGAACAACATCAGCACAATTAAGTTGTGCTTCCACTTTTCTGGTCTCAACATTCCACAGATAAACAGTAGTGCCTAAACATTTATAGACACAAATGATTACTTTTTTGAAATTCAACTTAGAACAACAAATTTTGAACCAATATGTCAGTTGTGGGATAGAGCTTACCCTGCTTGATGAAAAATATGTTTTAGTGAATTTTTTTTCAGCCTTTTAAATGAAATACGGGAAAGATTAAATTAATTATATTTTTACAAGACATTATAAGGAATAATTATAACTAATTTTTCTTTATGTGTTCTCTAAAAAATCATTTCAAAGACAAATTGGCCACAACACTCAGTTGGATTTTACCCATACTTGTAATATGAATCGGCGGTGCACAAAATGTGACTTATTCACTTTTATTTATTAAAAAAAATTGTCTAACTTGAATTCTAAAATCATATGACTTGCCTGGATAGTTATAAGACCAAACAAATTGTTTCTCTTCAACAGCAGCTGATTCCAAAAAATGGCAATTCCGATTCATGTTGATAATTTTAGAATGTTCCAAAATGTCTCCATCTTTCTTCATATCATAATAATCAAGGACTAAGATTCTCCCCTCTCTTTGTCCACACCAGAATTCTATTCTTCTACAAAGTTAAAAAAAAGTTTCTCATTTAACGGGTATGAAAATACATTCATATTTAAGGATAAGGTCAAGTGGGGATAGTTTGATTTATTTTCCCTTGGCTCCACTTTGTCACCTTGAGAATGATCAACCCAACATAGTCTTGTAGAAAGCCAGTAAAAAACTATATAAGCAAATTGAAAACATCTAATTCTTGTATCCAGTATTTTTAACCAACTTTAGTGTACCTGAGTATATTGCTGGTTCTCACCTTTCATCTCGGGGCACCAGACATCCACAGATACACTTCCCGGACACATTTTCCTTTCTTACTCTGACATCAAATGTTACTGGGTCTACCTCTAGTATAACTAGGATTCCTCCTTTCACTGCCGCTAACACAAAACTCAGTTTCTTACTGCTTTCAGTTTCCAGTATATGACTGGTGAGGTATCGCACCTTCAAACCTATACTAGGGTCATAGAGCCGGATTTTTTTGGTTGAGGAAGCACTGAAAGAAAGAGGTACTGTTTACAAATCCCCAGGTATCTTCTTTTTGTGGCAGATATTACATGTATTGTTATTAAAAAACTTTTCCTTTGTAATTGTAATATAAACCCAGAATGCTTTGAACCAGGTTTGGTTGATAGAAATTTACAAATACGCTAGCAATGAAAGACAGTGGACAAAACTTAATAGAGTCTTTTGCTCAGGTAAGCAAAAATACTTAATATAACAAGAGGCCCATGGGCCTTATAGGTCACCTGAGTATCATGTAACAACGTTC